GGATTTTGGCCAATGACGTCATCAAATTAGCATAAATTATGCATATTTAATGATAAAATTTACATAAATTCATATGGGATGTTATTAATATTAGAAACCATGAGTAACTTGACATAAAACCCATAAAATTTTATTCTTGAAACAAAAATTACTAAATTTAGCAAAAAATGCCTGTCAGAAACCCGTTGCCATGGCAACATAAAAAATTATTATCTTATTCCAATGATAGAAAATTGTTGCCAACAATATTTTAGGAAAAGTCACCAAGTTTGGTCATTCTAGCCCTAGCCATTCAGACGCTATGTGACATCAAAGTTGGCGCGGGCACTTTTAGCCCCCCCCCCGGTCTAGATAGGGTTAAATCAGGTTTCTCCCAGGTCAATGGTGGACACTTGAGCTGTAATATGACCAAACAAAATGTATAGTAAGTTTATCTTATTAATATTTTTGATAGCAATTCATTGTTGTTGTTTGTTTGTTTGTGTTTTTTGTACAGCATCAACTGTCCATTCCACACAAAGACTGGAAAAGGAAAATGATGATCTGAAGAGAGAAAGTGAACACCTCAAGAAAGAAGCAGAAGACCTGAAGAGGAAAAATGAACATCTGAAAACGTACATTTAGTTTTGATTTTGTTGTTGCCTCTCAAACAAGGAACTTACTGAAGTACTATACTGGTTTTACCTATGTTACTTTCATGTCCTTATTCAGTTTCCTTGTTCCAGATGAAAGTGTCAGCCCAGTTAAGTACATTTCTAGGAAGGCAGCTTGTATGTCAGTACCTTTAAAAGACCAGTTGTTTTTAGTTCTGTGTAGATTGAGGAATGGGTTTCAACTGAAGGACATAGGCTTTAGATTTCATATCACAATGCAGTTGGCAAGCATAATTTTCAATAGTTGGATTAACTATATGTATTTAAGGCTTGGTTATTTAAGTTTATGGCCTGCCCGTGACATTTTGGTCTCAAAAATGACCTCAGAATACATAAGATTATTCGGAACAACTATTGCTATGATAGACTGCACTGAATTAAAAGGGGGATAAGTAGAATCAAAGAATTCAAACTAGTTGACAGGAAAATTCCAGCTGTTCTGTTTAGTTCTATCAATCAAATCTGGCTTGTCTGTTGCTACTTAACCACGTTTCAAGATATATTGGTAAGAGAGAAAAGTCAATGATCTTTTTAGGTTAAAAATATAATGCTGACCTGATATCATAGTAACATAGAGTAAAATCAACTTGTATGGCCAAGAAATGTGGGCTCACTGGTACAATAGTTTGTGATTGTTGGGATTTCACAATTTTTTGCTCATCACTGGCATACAGGATATGCAATTATGCAGTCTGCTGTGTAATATTTTACTTGATAATACAGTGTTGCCACTGACAACTGAGGACGAACCAAAACAAGAAGTTACAAATAGCATAACTACCTGGTAAAAGAGTGAGGAGCCCCTCTGTACTTTACCTCTGCCAGTGTCTGCCTCAAGACAGTCCTCTGACAGCAGATAGCTCAGTGTTGTGCCTGGCACTTTGAGATCATTGATCTCTTTTTTTTGTTGTTGGCCGTGAAATACTGTGGGGAATATTGTAGTTGTCTTTCCTTCACCATGTAAAAATAACAGTAAGTTTTGAGTGATGTTTATTGTATGGGTCACCATCAAACACTTTCTGTAGTACAGTTGTGTGGTGTAACATAGTCTGTGTTAGTCAAATGAAGTTGTATTAAGAAACATTTCTTAATAACACACCTTTGTAAAGGTCTCCAACAACTTGATAGTTGCAATAAACTTTATTGGGAATGCTTTCCAACTGCATTTGAATCAATTTCAACTGTATTTATAACTATATCTTTGTGCATTTGGTAGGCACTTGTTGGAAAACTGATTTCCTTTTCCTGACAGTTTTTGTTGGCTTTGCCAATACCAAGGAACTCACTGATTCTGCTGCTATTTTCCTGCCCCTTGGCTTGTACCACTGTTGTGGTAAACTTGTCACACTTGTCTCAGTTGGCACGTCTTTGAGGCCTTGTAGTTGGAAATGACCCAGTGTGTACACAAGTGCATGTACATGAGCACATGTAGCCGAGAGCCTGAAAGTTTATGTGTAAGAACAAATATATTGTGATGAAAAGGACATTTTAAGACAGAACAACATTGGTAAATTGTGACAACTTTTATTGAACGTTCAACGTACCATATACATGGCCTTTGGTAACACAACACTTGCGTACATTAAAAATGGAACACTATGTTGTTCAGAATTATTATATCCTGTCCAGCCCCGTTCAAAATAGGGCTATATAGGCCGTGTACCCTGGCTCGCTTGGCCTGTGACCTCGAGGTCATGTTATCGCTCGCCGCCGCCCCCCTCCCACAACAACCATTTTCACGTAATGTAAACATTATGCAAAGAGCGTCATTCTTTCATGGTCAAAAGACACATTTACACAGCAAATGACATTTTTCTTACCTCTTTGCCTTCATGCAATTATAAAATCGTTTTACTGTAGTGTTATTTTCCGGGTTCGCGTGCGTATGTTGTTAACATTAAATGTAAATTCCATGTATCCATAAGCAGTAACACTTTGTGTTGCACGTAAAAAGAAGTTGCGCCCTCCGTAAGTCCTTAACATGCATGCAGCCATGGCAGTGGAAAACCTGTCACACATATACGTACCCTGCCTTACACGTGCATCAGCAGTTAGTGAGCAGTCGGGCACTCTTGTCCACCAACAAATGTACGCTGTGCGGCTCATCCCCCTTTCTCATCGACCTAAAACACCTCGCCCCTACGGAAACTACCGACCCTTCCTCCTCAAACAACTCTACGCGGCGGACGTAACCCTCAACGAAGAAACTATAACATTTTTGTTTGGCCCGTTCCGAGACTTCCTCGCTTCCAAAAAACGATAACCCGAAGTCGGGCGGCAGCACCGACAGCTTGGTGGCGGCGGCCATGTTTGTCTTTCCCGCGCTTTTTTTGACCGAGGTGTTCGAAATAGAACAGGGGGCGGGGCTTACGGTGTTCGATCTGGAAAGGCCCATTGTGCTGCAATGTACAATCACATTTGCAGAAATAGCATTAAAAGATTAAGTATTACATGATATATCCGATATGAATATGAAAATTGGTAACACATTAAAATAAGAATGAACGAGTTTAAAACATACAAGGCAGCAATAAGATCTTTAGTCTATAGTGTCCTTTACTTCTGCATAATGTTGAGAGTTCTGGGGAAAAACTGTTCTCCAGCTAAAAAAATAGACTCACCGGAATTTTCCACCGAAAGATAATCTAAATATCATATGTGAACACTTTTTATCTACACAGTTATTAATAGTAAAGGATACAGTAATATTTCTAGTAATATTTAGAAAATTGATATTAAAGATGCAAATATTTCAATACGTAGCTGCAATATTTCATGCTGTTCATAAACTGATTTATAACAGCTGGTATCAAGTATGGCAAATTCGTACAAATAAACCAGTCTATTACTATTACTACTACTACTAGCACTAACACTATTACTACAAAATAGCATTTAGTAGACAGTAGGCAATCAACAAAAAAAAGAACAAATGCAAATACAATCAAGCCAAAGTAACCATGAAAACAACAACAGCGTTAGTTACTCTAAGGTGCTGCAAATAATGTCAGGTTGGTTTAACATTTGATATTTTGATTTTCTTACACAAAACAAGGGATTCTCTCAACCCGCTTAACGAGAATAAAACTTCTTGCCTGATTGGCTGAAATTTTTTTTTTAGAAATATAGCCCTTCAATTTAATGAGGTAATCATCCTAACATTTAGAGCTTGGTTCTTACGTAAAAATTGCCAAAACTCCGCCTTGCTGTTAGGTACTAAACAGTTGTCAATCAATCAGTCAGTCAGTCAGTCAATCGCCCACAGGCATCAGGAACTGATGCATAGCGGGTACAGATGTGTACAGTTCCCACCAGGTCAGTCTGGTCGCGGTGGTCGTTTGAAAAAAATTCACCTTTATTAACCATCCATGTTGTTGCTTTGGGAGTGAAAACTTAGGCCCACTTTAGACGATGGATTTCGCGACAGCGGAAACTGCCGACAGCGGCACGCCGACAGAAAAACGCCGTCTAGAGAGGATTCCCGACAGCGTAGTCCCGCTCTCATGAAATTTTCTGCCGACAACTCCGAAAGATAATCCCATGCCAAAGCAATGGCAGCGGGGAGGTAAGCAACGTGGATTCTAGCTGGGCTCAGCGGGAGTCCCCGACAACTTTAAAGTGCGTATAGAGAGCTCCCGACAGCGGGACGTGAGGGTTCAGCTCATTAGCATATAGCGCGGGGCATTTGGCATCAAAATGGCGGAGGCTCGTTTTTAAACAGGAGCACGCCGTATGCCCCAGAAACGCTGTACGTACAGTATGCCCTGAACAATTTTTTGGCAAAAGTTCGCTGGAACCATTGCACAACGCCAGATCGCCCCGTGAATAGGATCGCTACCCCATGCCAAAGCAATGGCAGCGGGGAGGTAAGCAACGTGGATTCTAGCTGGGCTACGTCTCAACCATATCTCCCGGTATCTCAACCATTTCTTTTATGCTACCCTTGCTCGTTGCCTCCTGTTGGATAAGACGCAAATAACACTGTACACAAAGAAAAACATCCGAAAACGGCGAGTTCTTGAAAAAAATCTTGGAGGCCATTTTTGATGACGCGTTATGTCATAGATCACAATGGGTCAGGTTAGGTCACGAGCCACACGCGGTGTTCTGTCCTGTCGGACTTTTTGGCGGTGTGTATAGAGGCGTCCCGACAGCGGCGTCTCGACAGCGGGAAATATTGCCACTGTCGCGAAAATCTGTGTCTAAACTGTGTGAAGGAAAAAAAATGCTGCTGTAGTCTTGAACAGATATTTACCGTCACGACCCCTGTGCTGTCCTTCATCTGAGCGTGCGTGATTGTGTAAAGCCTGAAAGCTGCAAACCTTCAGATATATCTCTGCCCTTGGCTAAATTTGTCGGAATGGGGACACGGAGGGAAGAATCTGGTTATTCCGGTTGCCATCTCTCACTGCCTGTGATTGGTCAGAGGTGAATGCAGATTCACCTACGTTGACCAATCGCTTCAAATATATTTCCGCGCCAAACCAAATTGTATCTCGAACTATTGGTGATACTGGTGCCTTTACTGACCTCTGTCCTAGTTAAACTATTCCTGAACAGCCTCGAAGTTGTATCTGCGGCCCGGCGACCATCCGACAAGTGCAGCGCAGCCAAAGACTGTAGGTGGATACGACAACGCGCCCTTTTTTTGGTCTCGGTTTCTCCCAACTCCTTGTAACATCACCTGAGCAGAAGATCGAACTTCATCCAGGTAAGTGATGAGAATTTGAAAGCCACTTAGAATATAAAGTAATCCATTGAGTCACGCATAGGCAGATGTATATTCATGTATACATGCAGATGTATATCCAGCTGCACGGGGCACACTATATAAAAGACCGAAAGACGTGTTGGCTTGTTAACATCAGAGGTTGTCAGAGTGATTATGTCTAGATATGGAAGACGTCTAGTCTCTCTAGATAGATCCGTCACTTCCCAGCTGTTTAAAGCCCCTGTCACAATTTCAGGACCTTCCCCCGGCATTGCCCCGAACACCAGCCGATCAAGATTGGCTGAAGTTCGGGAGCTGTCTAGCCAGATTTAGGGCACGCCTAACGTTCTGTAAAAATTGAAGCGAATGTTTTGTTGAATCGTAGATTTTTCATACTAATATCAAAACACGAAGAATCCTGAAATTCAATTTCGCCACATTTCAGATTTTTAAAGTTCTGAATGTGTAACTGCTTGTTCCATAGAATCTGCTGCGCATGCAGATATTATCAATAGACCAGCATTTAACATTGGCTCAACACCTAGATAAAGTTAAATCCAAAATGGCAGGATTGCAGGCGTATAGTGGTCGACAAACCTGTTTGCGCCAGGGTATGTAGCCTTTCAGTCCTTGACAACGCCCCATTTCTGTCAATCAGCACGAGAATTTTTTTCAGCAGCCATAGCTAGCTGGGACTGTCAAGACAACTCTATTCTCTTTGCCCCTTGGCTATGTCCCTTGTTTTGTGTTCCAGTTGTCCAATCAGCTTTCGTTTGAAGAGGCAATTGCCTGGCATTCTGACGCAATGTCCGTCGCAGTTTTGTTGCACATAGTGAGTGCTACTATCATTTCCCAAACCGTGCCTATCCAGTTTTATGCCTGAATAGGTTAGGGTCAGGTAGTGCTAATGTTATGGATAGTCCCCGCATATCAGAAAACGTAGATTTGCCCCAGATATGGGTTTAGATACTAGTGGACTATCTAGAGCCGTGCCTGATATCAAACACAGCCCCGGATACAATAAACGTCTACACAATCCATTTTTAGCTAGCACAGTAGTGTTGATGAAAATGTCCAGAATCCGTCGCAGTGAACTTTAGTGAAACTACGGTAGAGTAATAAAATGTCGTCGACATGTAAACCAAGGTACAGTTAGGATCACTTGGACTTTTAAGTATTACAAGATATATCCGATATAAATATGAAAATTGGTAACACATTAAGCAAAAGAATGAACGAGTTTATGCGTGATTGTGTAAAGCCTGAAAGCTGCAAACCTTCAGATATATCTCTGCCCTCGGCTAAATTTGTCGGAATGGGGACACGGAGGGAAGAATCTGGTTTTTCGGGTTGTCCTCTCTCACTGCCTGTGATTGGTCAGAAGTGAATGCAGATTCACCTACGTGGACCAATCGCTTCAAAGATATTTCCGCGCCAAACCAAATTGTATCTCGAACTAAGGAGACAGTTTCGCTATTGGTGATCAGACGCCCTTACTGACCTCTGTCCTAGTAAAACTATCCCTGAACAGCCTCGAAGTTGTATCTGCGGCCCGGCGACCATCCGACAAGTGCGGCGCCGCCAAAGACTGTAGGTGGATACGACAACGCCCCTTTTTTTGGTCTCGGTTTCTCTCAACTTCTTGTAACTTCACCTGAGCAGAAGATCAAACTTCAGGTAAGTGATGAGAATTTGAAAGCCACTTAGAATATAAAGTAATCCATGCAGTCACGCATAGGCAGATGTATATTCATGTTTATATCATACCCGGGCCGCGATAACATTCGATAACGGTGTTCCGGACCGGGCCGTACTTTACGGTACGGCCCGGGCTTCCATAGAATAAGTCGAAGGCGTTTCGCGTGCGCCGAGTGCGCCGCTTTCGAAAATTCGAACACAGGATTCTGGCGTTGGAATTGATGTCGTTACACTTTTTTTGGTCAGGTACACGAAATTTTGGCACATTTCGCATTAAAAGGCGTGTTTTCTAGGGTGGGTATGATATAAATAAAATACAACACGGTGTATTCCGCATCGCCCTCGGTCCCAGCCCTCCCGCGGGTCGGATCCCCCTCCGGCCTTCGGCCGTCGGGCGATCCGACCCGCGGTCGGGCTGGCACCTCGGGCGATACGGAATACCCCGTGTTGTATTCTATATATACATGCAGATGTATATCCAGCTGCACGGGGCACACTATATAAAGACCGAAAGACGTGTTGGCTTGCTAACATCAGAGGTTGTCAGAGTGATTATGTCTAGATATGGAAGACGTCTAGTCTCTCTAGATAGATCCGTCACTTCCCAGCTGTTTAAAGCCCCTGTCACAATTTCAGGACCTTCCCCGGCA